GAAGAAAAAAAACAGAAAACTTTGTTACCTTGTTATAAAATAGTAATAAAGATACTGCTGATTTTTATTTATATAAAAAGTTTACACCTATACATAAAATAATTGATTAAATAATAATATATGTTATTCAAGATATAACTAAATATTTTTATCATTTTTTAAATTAATTTTTATCATCTTTTAAATTAAATTTTTTTAGCTCAAATCCTTCCTAAAAATCAAGATAAAAAGAAATTTTTTTTTAATGAATGAAAAATATTTGATGTATTAACATATTAACTTCCATTCAATAAATTTCTATTTTATAAAAATATAATATATTCTTCTATGAAAATATAATTTCATATTTTTACATATTTTATAAATATTTTTTATTTTGAAATAGCGTAATGATCATTTGACAAGTTTATTGATTTTTATTTCTATTTTTGATGAGCATTTTAAACATCGTTAAGTATTTTTTTAAAAAACATTTTAAAAATTAGTTGTTTACAAGTTATTTGTTTTATTATAATATCATTCACCATTCTTTTTTAAGTTCTTATATATGTAAAGAATGATTAAAGATTATGAGTTGTTGAGGTATCAGGTTATCAATGTTTATTCTTTCTTTGAAACGATATAATGTCGATAAATTGTAATAAATTTTAACAGATTATTACAGATAATAATATATATATTTTCGATAGATGTCGTAAAGATCATAATAATGTTTAAGAATAAATTCTAAGATTATTTTGAGATGAAAATTTTAATAACAAAAAAAATATCGAAATTATAATTCTAATATAAAATCTAAAATTAAAATATAAGATGTCTAAAAGCCAATTATAGCCATATCTAACATATATCGAAAAATATATTAATAAATTATATTATTATGAGATATTCTTAATATATTTAATTATAAAAAATACATAAATATATGTAACATGAGATGTCCGGTAAAATGTTCCGAGATACCTAGATATCTCGTAAAGTATACATTTTTGAAAAAAAAAAGTTTTAGATAAAAACTTTAGAGCTCATAAAGAGTAATATAATTATAATAATTGATTCATTTGCAAATGGAGTCATTATTGATATTTTTTCATGACCACTGTTTCTTTCATTAAAATCATATATTTTTTGTCACATAATGATTCTTTTAATTATTTTAGATAGTGTAATAATATCTAAAAAAAAGAAAAAAGAAACTCCAAAGAGCACAAAATGAAAATTCTTTCTCTCCTCTCATGAGAACATCGCAACGACAGTTTTGAAGAGCTCATCAAGCATAATGTCTACTTCTGATTTTTACTTCTCATCGCAGAGAGTATTGCAACGATACAATTCCAAAAAGTTTACCACGGCATTCTTCTATCCCTTCATAGGAATACCATTACAGATCTGATAAGTTCGATTGTGAATATCTCGTAACACATGATAAGAACTTAAAAAAAATTTATGATATTCTTCTTCAAAAATCATAGGGTAGGTGATTGGAATAAAATTCAATCTCTCGCTAGATTCTCGATAATTTTCCAACAAATCGTAAATAAAAAAAATAAATAAAAATTCAACAAGTTTATTTACAATATAAAAATAATAATTATGTTTGTACTTTTGATATCTATATCAAAGATTTCCTAATACATTCCTATTTTGTGAAATTATTCTTTCAACTTTCAGAGAAATATATTAAAATAAACACAGTATACACTCTGTGTTTCAGTCTCAATTTAATGTAATCGATTGATTACATAAATGTGAATAGTCAAATATCAACTTATGAGATTTCAGCTATTTAAACAAGATCACAATATAGGATTTTGCAATATAAAAATTTGATTGTATATTAAATAAATAAGATGAAATAGTTATTATCATGTAAGAATGTTACCACCAGCGGTAAGACTTTCCTCATCAATAATTCCCAGAAAGTAAAGACATACTAAAGCAGCTCCTTGTTCAGCCCATTTCTTATTTTTTTCCCTAAAAAAAAAAAACATTAAAATAAGAATAAAATAAAAGAAAATAAAATAAATTAATTTTTATAATTTACCAGAAAGAGGAACCATATTTTCTCCCATCTACAGTAACAACAGAGCAAAAAAGTTTATTCTCCTGCCGAGTATCGTATACTGGCATTTTTTTATGATATTCCTTGGTCCATTTGAGTAATCTAGTCTTTGGAAGTTCCGAATCTGTTATGTAATTGTTCCTCAAAAAAGCACAACGCATCAAAGAAACATCTTCGTTTTCTTGGGCTTTTCTTTTATGAGAAATACCATTGCTCAATTCTTTGTCAAATATTGTAGGCGTTACTTGAAATCGACCTAATAAACCTTTATCTCGAAACTCTTTTCTTTTGGATCGACAGTAATCACCTAGTCCCCATACTTCACTAAAAAAATTTATTAAATAATAAAAAGCAATAAAGAAATTTATTTTAATAAAATAAAGAAATTTTTTTACATACCATATTTGCTCCAGTGTTTGCGCATCAAGAAATTTTCTGCCTAAAGGAGATTCCTGAAGCTCCCGTAAAATATTCTGTACGCAATATTTTGTATTGGAAGGTGAATTGTCACAATCAATAGCATGTTTTAAATACGACTTTATAACATCTTCCATTGGAAGCAAACCTTCTTTTCGAAATATTGAACAATTCCATTCAGCAGCACGAGCGAGCATTACACTACTGCAACCTGTTTCTTCTTTAAATCTGTAGAAATATTATTTATAACAAGTTAATAATCTTCTAACAGATGTCTGAGAGATATATATCAAAACATATATATCAAAACATTACCTTGATATATCAGAATATTTTTGAATATCTTTGGATCCACCATTTGCGATAACTGGTATCAAAAGTTTAGCAGAAATATGCTTAAGAACATTGTTGTGATTAGAATGCTGTGGTCTTTCCTCAATAGTACGACCATGGATTGCAATGGCTGCAATACCAGTGGATGCAAGAGTTTCACAAAGTTGAAGTGTTTCTTCCTGATTAGGCAAAATACGTATTTTACAGGTAACTGGTATAGCTACTGTTTTAATCAAATTTTGCAGAATTTCAGTCGCTTTCTGTGGTTCACGCAGAAGAGAGGCACCCATTCCTCCAAGCATCGAAAATTTCTTTGGGCAACCCATATTAACGTCGATGCCAGCAACATCATTTTCTACCATAAGAGCAACTTGAGCTGCTCTTATTGGATCAGATGTACCAATTTGAAGAACAACATTATCTCTTTCACGAGGACAAGTACGAAATACTACAGTTCCATCTGTCTTATCGATATAATCAATAGTGCCTAAGACATCTGTAAGACAAATTTGAATACATTTAAGATTTTAAAAATAAATAAGATTGCATTAAAGTTTTTAGATTATAAAAGAAAATTTTTAAAGAAAATTTTGACTCTCACAATAGAAAAATATAATTTAATTTTAATAAAACAAAGTCTTTATTCAAATTAGAAAGATATAAGATAAATAAAATAGTCAATTACAATAAATGTAATTATAATTATTTATACTTGATGTTATCCTTGCATGTTATCTTTATCTATATTGAGTATTACAAATATAATTCTTTACAAATATAATTCTTTAGCATCATATTAACCATAATTAAGATATTATATTAATTATACTGTAACGGAGCCTATAATTTATATATAGATATTTTGTAATAATTCTAATTTTTCAATAAAAGAAAAAGCATTTTTACCATTTTCTCGACGAATTGAACGAAGCAATTTTCTGTCGATCAATTCCTCCGTATAAACTATATCTGCGCCATAGTCCAGAGCAAGTAAACGCATTGGAAGAGTTCCGATGCGCACCATAGGCGCTAGGATAAGCTTGTTATCATAATTGAGTCTTTTCCTTGTAATTAAATTTTCTTCCATGTTAATACTAATTCAATAAAATATATTTCAGTTCAAAGGCATCAATCGAAACAAATCCACGTGATCAGTCTGCCACTATCTACATCACCACTTCATTTAGCAGAAAAAGCTTCACAGCTGAAGTGCGTTCAGAAATAACGTTCGACTACGCCAAGATATCAACTTATCTTTATTTAACATTTGATGAACACTAAGGATGAAACGACACATCTAGTGTTTTTGAATCCAGAGCTGGTTTCCATTGTCAGTACTGAAAATTTATAATATGGCCGGTAGTATTCGTAGTCCGTTCTTATATTTAAGATTGGCAGAAGAAAAAGTAATTTCTTAACTGTTGTAAAAATCTTTGAAATAATTGGTTTTTATCCTTATAGATCTAAATTTGATGGCTCAGTGGGACACATTGTTGATTGGTGGGATTAAATAATAGATCTTTTGGCTAAGTGGCTCATCAAAAAATTCCCAGGCATCGATGTGAACGGTGTGTCCGATTAAAAATGTGAGTCTTTATTTTCCCCCTAAAAACATAAAAGGTCTTCTTTTTAACTGAACAGGAGATTAATGGTGTATCTTAAAATGAGATAAAAATTATTCTATTAAAAAAGAAGGAAATTCACTAGAATATCTGCGACTTCATACGTCTGAATCTAGTAAATTTCCTCACTCTTGTAATTCTCATCTTGTTTCAAGATGCACAATCAACCCCCTGATTGATAATTCAGAGTTCATCTTCTTCTTCCAGTATAAAGAAAGAAAGATAAACTGTGAACTAGTACAACCAGTTTAGCAAAAAAGAACAAGTCTAATATTTTCATATTTTTAAAATTTGTAAAAAATACACTGCAATATACTGCTTAGCTATTAGAAATTACAAGATTACTAGATCTAGTTGTTTCTGATTGCTGAGCGATTATCATTATTTTAAGAATTATTTTACACTTTTACATAATCTATCGGATAAGTGTTTTACTTTCTGATATTTTTTACAAGTTATAAGAATATAAAAGTTTAGGACTCACTCGAATTTTGTAATATTGATATGAGAAAAAGAATGCAAAAATTAAATCAAATTCAACGTTTTAATCGATATAGATCGAATGAGTTATTAACAAGTCACGGTTGCTATTTTTGAAGACACACAGTAATATGAATGCACGAGGTAAACATGTAATTCATACACGCACGCGGGTGTCCTTGTATTGCGCTTATTGCGTCGATGAGCACATTTGTGTAATAATCTGAAACACAGATTATACACAATTACACGAACAATAAGGAAATTATGGCTGCTATTGGGATCACATTGCTACGAGAAATACATTTAAAGGTCAAAGATTATGCGGAAATTTACTATCTTGTTAACGTCAAGTTATAAATATGCTTTGAATCGTTGCAGATAAATATATTTCTGCACGTAACGATTTATAAATAAAGCTAAATAGGAAAACAAGCTCGTTACTTGATATTTATCTTTTGATTTCTACTTGTACATGGATAAATATGTTATTTAAAAAACGGAAGCCACGATTCTCCACAAAATTGCTCAGTTGTAAAAGGAGAAATTATTTATATTAGGCTGAATTATTTATATTAATTATAAAACAATTCAAAGTTAGTCAATGTGTCTCAAATTGCCTACACAGAAAAAAGAATTAGTCTTAAATCAAGACTATATATTTTCATACATAAGCAAGATTTATTATTATGATCTTCATATATGGAAAAGATTTTTAGTTTATCCAGTGCATACAATGAATATGGACAATATACAAAAGAATGTGGCTCGTGCAGATTCAGTTATGTAAACTACGTTGTCTGCCAACTAATAAAATTCAGAGCGGAAAGACAAGTGTACATGTATACATAAATGTCATAAATATTTTTGATAAATGGATAAAAAAAAACAAAATTACATTGTATGCAATATTCAAGTGTAATAATACAAATAAACATTTATAAACATTTGTGAAATTAGAAAAATAATTACATTACTATTTACTCGGAGTTTATCTATTCTTTATTCGATGTTTGATTTCTAATTCTAAAGAACATAAAAAAAAAAATGATCACATGATCAAAGAAATCAAAGATCGACACGAAGTATCTCTTATCGTTATATTATGATTTTTACCTACCTATAAATAGAAATCATTAAAACTTTTTGTTTATATTTTTCGCGATTTTTACCTCGCACAGATTCGATTACTTTAAACAAATTTATAAATTAAGATAAATTTGTAAAATAAATTCATCAATCTACCAATTTTACTTTATTCGAAATTATATATACATCGATGAATTCATGAGTAATTGAGACATTCTTGTTTCTTAATGATTTTTTTTGAACGTAAGTAGAGTCACAGTAAATATCACAGTTGTATTTGGAAAACAATTTTTTTTGTATTATATAGGTATCATAATATCATAAATGTTCTATCATATACCAGATGTACGAATAATTATTAAGATAACTAACATTAATATTGTACATTCAGTACGGACATGTATAATTCCTATAATTAACTGTACATATTATTCTGTATTATTTATAGAAATTAGCGAGGAAAAAAATATTTGAATTATGAAGGATTTAGATTTTATTTGGAATATCTATTAAGCCTTCAAGCCTTTCAAACTTCGCCAAAAAATTCTATCTAACGCATTATATATAGAAATGATAGTGAATTGTCCAAAATAATTACCTGCACTTCCATTGTCAAAATAACAATACAATTATATAAATAACTTTAATATAAATTCAGAAATCAAGTAAAAAATTAATCATTTTTAACATAATACATATTACTTTGCTTTATTTTAGAGCATCATGTACAGAGTCTATCGTTTCCGGTGTTCCAATAATAATTCACAAGTTTCGGAAATTTAAAATTTTAAACAGGGGCCTTATCATTCTAAGTGTGCGTCATTCAAATTTCAAATGAATATCGCTTATTTAACGCAGGTCTAATAAATTTCGCGTTTAGGAACAATTGCATTGCATGGAAGGCTCCAGAAACCAAAGATTTGTGATATAAATATCATAATAAGGTACCAATTATCAGGACACATCGAGAAATTAATACATTTTTTATCAGCAAAAACAATTTCAAATAAAGTGAATTAAAAAATCTATCATAAATGATGCGTTAATCTTTGAATGACGAAATCCTTGCCTATCTTGGTATCCATTTGGATCCACATTGAAAATTTGTTTTTTCGCATCTTAGAATAACATTTTTAAATCGATAAATCGTAACACATTTATCAACAATTGTAACATAAACGAGTCTTATGATTATGGTATAAACATAGATCCAAATGGACTTGGTATTCGCCATCCGTGAATAAAGGAAAATATATCATTTTATAATAACTATAAAGATAAATACCGCCAAAATAAAAATATATAACAGTCATAACAATATAATTTCAATATAAATTAAAAAAAAAACTGTTTATATATTTAAATATCGATCATTAAAGATATCGCTGTTTAGATTATCAATGTCCAGATAATTGACATCCGCTATTTACCTTTGTGAATTTGGAATTCTTTTGAAAAATTAATTGTTTTATGGAAACAATTAGTATTTTATAATTGTTTGTAATAACAATAATTTCGTTTGTAATTTCATTAAAAAATATTCAAACTTAAAAAGAACGATTCACATCCGACATTAAGATATCTCAAATTTTTGTTATTCTTTAAGATTGCGCAAATCTACCTGTGCAATTTTTTTTAGATTCGTTTATAGTGCTTTCTATTTCGCTTTTAGTCAAATTGTTCAAAAGCTACAACTTAAACAAATAGCTAAGAGCGAACTTTGCTATTCATTGAGATAACGCAAATCTACTTGCAATCTTTTTTAAAATCGTTTGTAGTTGTTTGGCCATAAGCGAATCATTTATTAAACCAGCGCACAAACGAAATGAAAAGCATTACAAACAATTCTACTAAAAGCACTACAAATGATTCTAAAAAAGATTCTACAAATGGATTTGCTCCATCTTAAAAAATGGCAAAGTTCACTCTTGACCATTTGTTTAAATTGTTAACTTGTAACTTTCGAACGATTCGACTACAAACGAAACGAAAAGTGTTACAAAGAATTACAAATGAGATTCTAATAAAAACTTCGTAAGCGGAATTTGAAATATCTTAGTGTTGAGTTATTTTTTTAAATTTTGATATTTTTTAATGGATTACAAACAAAATGCTAACTGTTCCCATATAAGAGTCAATTTTTCAAAAATTGGATGCCAAGTTCACAAAGATCTATTTACGTATAAGTATATTATTGCTATCTAATGTTAGTACAGCGTTAAGTACAGCTCAATTTCAATTTTAAATCAATAATAACAAAAGCAATTTTACTACCGTAACAATATATCGTAATAAATTGAGCTATGTCATTAGCAATTTTACATTTCGTTCGAATAGAAGATAAATGAACGTATCGCAATTCGTATGTGTGTAGATGTACATAAAAATGAAATATGTAACACGGAACACACTTGCAATAAATTGAAACTTTAATCGTGCATCGTGTACATTTAAATGTGAAGAATGGATATATTTCCCGGAATGGAATATATATCCCGTCGCAGTTTGATCCCAGATAATTGATCATAAAAAAAAAATCACGCTTTTCCGGATCACAACGATTCGTTTAATTGTCGAGTTTATAATGAAAATGATGTACTCACACGCATCAAATTCGATTCGACATTTTGCCTAGAATGCATGGAAAGATGCATAAGGGTGCATGGAAAGACGAAAACGTCACGCAATATCATTACCAATATCATCGACCGTTCGTTTAATCTCGACTAGTTTTATGAAATTAAATTATAGTAGAACTCCTCTATTTGAGGGAAACTCTTCCCTCAGTTTTGTTCTAATGGTATGGAAAATGGTACGCGTTCTACCTTTCATTCGCTTTTCGCTTTACGCATTATCATAAGATTGATAAAGGTAGGTATTGGTGGAAGAAAAGTATATAAGTGATGGATAATGAAAATTTTAATTTACAGTGAGACAATTGTTTCAAAACACAAACTTTTATATAGAATATCTAGAATATTAGTTATGATAGTATATAAGTATATTTTGACAAGCGAATCGTGTTGTTACATCTTGAAAAGGCAAGAAAAGTGCATAAGTATTCGCACAAAAGAAAATTAAAATTTGTAATTCAAAATTTGTGAATCAATCAAGCTTCAGACAAAAATTTTGTTCAGTAAAAAGTCGTTTCAAAATTGGCTTAAGAAGAAAAGCTAGAAAGAAGAGCAACTTAGAAAAGTTTACAGGCAATCGTTCTGACTCATTCTGTATGTTTAATAATATATATGACTTTTATTTAAATTAATTTTTATCGTTATTATTTATATTTGATATCATTTATGTAAATAGCTACAGAAGAATTACAGTTTTGCAGCAATGTATATTGTGTTATAATTATATATGTTTATAAATTAAATATATTTAGTAATAAATTATAAATTTTTTACTAAATATTTTTACTGCATTCTAAGCTAATTATTGAGATATTTATATTGATAAATGCAATAGAACCTATTTATTAAGTTCAAAAATTTATCCATGATTAGATGATATTTTTAATATTTCGTTTGATAGTCAAAACAAATTGAAATACCCGATATATTTGCCTTTCTTATATGCAGTCAGTGCTCCTCCCTCTCTCTTGCATTTAACATCGGTTTTTCAACTTTCAAATTTCCATAAGTATTAACAGTTTAGATAATCTATATAAAAGATTATGTTTTCAATATATGATGAATAGAATGAAAAATAGAGAATAACGGAGTAGAGAGGTTCTACTATATATAAATAGCTTTATCAGAAAACATTACATCATACATTAAACATACTTAATGGAAATACTAATGGAATACCAAATTCTCTTGTTAATTCTTGATAACATGCAGATCAATTCAACCAATTTTATTTTGTTGCAAAAATCTTCAATTCTCTATACTTGGATCATGTTCTGTTTTTACTGGCAATACCAATACTGGCAGTATTGAAAAATCATTCTGTTATTAGCACGCAGTGCACTGCACATAGTACAACATTAGTAACATTAAAGATATCATAAACAGCCATGTTATCACTGTAACTACTGCGGCTCAAAAGCACTAATTAATAATAAAAGTATGGCATCAAATGGCATTAATCACATCAACAGATGTATCCACGGACATAGCTTTTACCTTTTTAAATTATATATATATATATTTAAGATATAATTTCCTATATAAATCTAATGTTGTTACAGTTCATGTTGTTATCAATAATTATAATTTTAAAAATATTCATAATATCGACCAATTTTTGATTTTTAGTCTGAGTTTAGTTAAATAAATATTTAAACATTTCATGTGACATTCAATTAAAAATTATTCATGTAACTTATTATTTATAAAATTTTATTTGCTCAGCAATATTGCAAAAATAAAAACTAAAACATTTTTATTTTTGTATCAAAAATGGTTTTTAAATTCCGCAAATAATGATATACAATATAACTTATTATATGTAATCGATAATTGTTGTAGAGTTATGTAATTCTAATAACTCGTCTCTCTCAGTTGAATTATCTCGTTCATTATTTTTATTGCAATCGTGCAAACTTACAGCTTGAGCTTTTTTCTAACTGCGCGCATCACCATATTATACAGAAAAATCTGTTCCGATATACGATGCTACAGCTGGCAGTAGCACAGTAATTATATGGAACAGTTGTGGCAGTGTATTGTTGCGACATCATATTTACTGTATTACTTGTAAAAACGGAACAGTCTTGATTATTATATCCATCTTGTTTTTCCTTGAATTAACATCCTTGAATTAACATTGTCATTAACGATACCTAAAATAAAAACAGTATCAACAACTGATGATATTCGTCTTTCGATAAAATAAAAAGAAAAGAATTCTTTTGTAGAAATAAAGTTGGACAAGTTGGTCTGCGTAATAAGTTTAAAATGCGCATCGATAATCGCATAGAACGTAAGCAAGGTATTCCAAGCATCATCATTTTACAGAAATTTGATGAGAAACTTTCTTTTTTCGAACGGTCGGATTGATTTATCCTTTTATTTTGGAATTTTCCTTCAATCTCTATTCTTATTCTAATGGCACGTACAAGATGAAAATATTGTGTAATCTGCCTTTCAATCTTCATTTTCTCAGTTCATACATAATTATTAAGGGGATGCTGGACTTATCTGTATTACCGACAACATAGTGATTTTTGTATTGCTCTCACTTTATAGATCTGGAAATCCTTTCTACAATTAAAGTTTATGCATTAATATGTGTTTAGCATATGAATCGTATCAAGAACAAGAAAAAATTTTAAAATTTATCTTTTTTAACATTTTTTACCTTAAAAGGGCGTCCAAAGCTGCCAAGTCGCATCAATATTTGCTTTATATAAAAATTTTATAGTCTGTACCTATAAAACTGATATTGCTAAACTAGATTATATGAAGAAACAATGTTGAGTTCTTAAAATTAAGCTAGATATTAAGCTAGATAATGTAATACAAGAAAGCAATACAAAAATTTGTTCATGTGTATCATGTGTGTACAGAAATGTATGAATTATGTATGTACATAAATGTATGTATGTTTATGTTTAGATGTGCATATGTGTGAACGTTTTTGTCGGAGGGATCCCCTTAGTATATAGTAAAAAAAAAGAGAATTCCAGTTTATACAAGACAATTATTCTGATACAAAAGAGAAATTTTATTATATATTTTTCACCATATATTTTTTGTTGAATTTAAAATTGATTCTAGCATGACTAAAAAATTTATCAAATTTTATATTGTAATATTATGTTTTCATAAGAGAGAATGCATATCTAATAGGAAAAAATAACTTATTTATCAAGAACACAGAGAACTTTTTTAAGAACTTGTTTAAATTATACTTATTTTCTAGTGGAAATTCAATATTTTGGAAATAAAAATTTTATTAAGATTTAATTTCTTTCATAAAATGAAGGAATGTTTTCTTAATTAAGTCTGACTTGATATAATTCATTAAAATATTTGTTTATCTTTAATCTATTATCAATTTTACAGAGATGAACTGTGAGCGGGGAAGAGAGAGAGAGAGAGAGAGAGAGAGAGAGAGAGAGAGAGAGAGAGAGAGAGACAGAGAACGCTGAGAAGAAAAAGGAGCGATGATTGGAACACCTTATACGTAGGAGCATTTATCAGTTAAATTGTTTTCCCGTCTAGTTTAATATGTCATACGCACGCATTCACGCAATTACGCATTCACGCATGTGATGAATTTTTAATATTTGACTTTCGCCTTAACTTCCTCCGCGATACCACCCCATTTGAGTTTGTAAACACGTGAGCGCCACTGTATGAGAGGATCCAGGACAGCCTGAAGGAAAAGATACGGTCTCGTGATCTCGCTGAGCAACCAACCACACACAAATTCGAGTTTGTTGAAAGGCAGCGGACCGTTCTGCACTATGCACAGTAGCGTCCAGTCGAACATAAACCACAAGAGTATGTGTACCAGATAGAAAACTAGAGAGTCCCACTCGAACAACACGCTAGCCGCCCAGGAAGCGAATCCGCCGAGAACGAGACACTCGCTCAGCGGCTCGAGGACGATGGTGGTGGGCAGCATCGCCACCCTGAGTTTCGCCCAACGCCGTAGTCGCGCCTGGAAAGAATCGAGCGCGCAGTGGCCGCTGTTCTGTAGAGCCGGCTGCGAGGAAACGGTGATGCGCCAACCGCGGTCGGTCAACGATTTGGCGTAAAAAAAGTCCTCCGCGAGATAGATGCCGAACGCTTTCAGACCACCAACCTCGTCCAACGTGGACTTCCTCAGGAGAGCCGACATGCCGGTGTGACAGTTTATTCTGAGCATGTCCGCGGCCAGATACATTCGCGATTGCACGGTACCGAAGAAGATCTTTTCGTACGCGGCGGCAAAGCCTTCGCGGTCGTAGGTGAACGGCATCTGATGAACAAGAGCCACCTTGTCCGTCATGTAATGAACCATGTCCAACAGAGTGTCCTCCTTCATGCGTATACCGCTGTCGCTGATTAGCACGAGCTCGTACTTGGCGGCTTCGTACGCCGGCTGCATGTTGTTGATCTTTGGATTCACTCCCACCTTACAACCGCCGACGAAGAGGGTAGCCTCGACTTCCGGGTACTTTTCGATGAGCTTGCGTACCAACATCAGCACGGGATCGGAGTCATCCTCGACGCAGAACAGGAGTTCGTATCGGGGATACTCCATGACGAAGAAGGTTTCGAGATTGCCGAACAGATTCGGATCGACTCCCATGAGGGGCTTTATCACGGACACCCCCGGCAATGGGGTCTCATAGCTCGGCGCTTGATTTATCTTTCGATGCAGCTTCCAGCGACCGGCGATCAACGCCAGCACGTGCACCACCCACATACCCGACCAGAATACCATGAAGAATATCGCAAATCCGTAGAGGGTATATATCATGGAGTTCATTTTTCAAGGAGCGAAGGCTTTTAGGCCACCGCGTGCATCTAGCATGCCGACGTGCCCGAACCACCGACACAGGCACCAGCATCAGCACCAGCACCAGCACCAGCACCAGCACCAGCACCAGCACCAGCACCAACAACACCACCACCACCACCACCTCCACCACCTTCCTTTCTGCTCCGCTTTTTTTCCGCTATTTCTCGCCTCGAGCGGGCACCCTCGTGCGGACGCATCACGGGAAGCTTCGTGGCATGCTCGACGCGACGTACGCTCACGTCGAGCGATGCGCTCTACTGACCGGCCATTGTTGCCGTCATTGCTTTTCCTCACCACGGCGACGGCGACGACGGCGGCGGCGGCGACGACGACGACGACGACGACGGCAATGGCAATGGCAATGGCAATGGCAACGGCAACGGCTACGCGCTCGCCCCTTGCAAAGCATTCACGTCTCTCAGCTCTCCCTCAAATCCAGTCTAGTCCGCTCTAGCCCGTTCGAATGGCCAATAATCTCTTCTGGGTAACCTCACCTTCCAACGAGCGCGTCAACTGCGCGAGCTGTCCGTCGCACCCACGCCAAGGCAATTCGATTCTTCGCGACAAGATTCCTCCTTCCGTCGAAAAGCGAGCAAAGCGCTTATATTATTTACATCGTCATCGGATCGCGTCATCATTGTCGATATTATTATCATCATCGATGAGCTCGATAACTTACGCGAAACACTTAACCACAATCTCGACAATGACAGGAACGGTAACGAGGCGACAGGCGATGAGGGCGCGTAATTATCGATTCGCCGAGTTATTATCGAGTCGATCCAGAATTTATTTATTTATCTCTATAAACGCACTTTGCACAATTGACACTTCCTTTGTATTGATACTCCAGCGATTCGCGCACTATCATATCTTCCGATAACCGGCTTTCATCGAAGCGCATGAATCATAAACCTGCCTCGATTCATTACTCATCGCGTCTCTTCTTATCGCGAATCGAGAAATAAGAAAGAGCGAGAGAAATTTTCGAAAGGTAAAGTTAGGTAAAATGGGATCTGCAAAACGATCGGTTTACAAATACGGACTACAAATCTCTCCCGACACTGTCCGACATGACGCGCGCGGTGATTGTCATTCCTTCTATTTTTCTTTTCTACGTCTGGTACGTACATACATACATTGGCGTGATGTAAGAAGACCAGAACTGTGTTCCAAAATTCACTACTAGTATTGAAAATCTATAGTTCACATGACATATATCATACAGACCATGCGCTGATATATGTTGTCAGCACTGAAGATATCTATATTTATGTTACGTATACTGTAGATTTTCAATACTGTATATCGGAACACGGCCGCAGTAGATGCTTTCCATTGGCAAATGTTTAATCCATGGAAAAGTGAAGCCAACGTATCCCCTCTCGCACAATGAACGCGACGAATGATGTCCAATGAGAGCTTGTGCCCGAGCATACTGGTGATTTTCTCCCTCCACTTGCGCACCAGAGACGTTTATCCGTGAGTTTACGTGCGCTTGCGCAGGCACACGGAACGTCTCTATTGCGTAAGTGGAGGGGAAAAATCGTCATTGCTCGGGCACAAGTTCGCATCACTGCCTCTAAAGCCTGTTCTACGATGCGTGTCGTAAGAATGGGCCAATCACAATCAAGTATTCTCCTCACATTCGTCTGTGATTGGTTAATTCTTGTGGCTTGCGATCAGACATGCGACGTATTGTAGAACAAGCTTAAGTTTTTCTGTGTGTTCCGACTTTTACCATGCTCCGTTCAAGACAATTTGAAATAAACTCGTCTAATGAAAAGACGTTTATTTCGAAAATTCAAAAAATTAACAGACAATAATCTTTAAATAATTATGAACGATATATAGGATACAAACAACTTCATAATATAAAAAAGACATATTTTATTTATATTTATAAATATTAAGAAAATCACTTTAATGAAGCTAATTATGTTCTAAATTTTTTAAACAGGGGATGTTTATTTGCTGTTGAGGAACCAGGAGCTTTTTTGTATTCATAGTAAATAGCATCGTCCGCTCCTGACATTGATGTCATAGTACCGGCTTTGCGAACAATCTGAGAAAAAATTTAAGATATTTTGGTAAGAAACATTTAGTTGCAATGAAATATATTATTGTATGTTACTAAATATATTATATTAAGGATACTCCTCTCCTAAATACTGAATGCCTGTTTTCCAGAAGGATATCCAAAAACAAAGACATTCGCAGAGGTCGGGTACTTTTGGGACAGACCTCGTATATATCTCTATATAAATCATGCTTTGTATTTATGTTACTCACTGGTCTTGGTCCTTCACCAGGTATTCTTTCTTCATCAGCATCTGTGTCACTAGCTGTTAATACTTGCTGCAATAAATGACCCTGTTCCTCTCGATTTCCATACATTAAATCTGGCTCCTAAGAAAAGCGATGATAATAACTTTATCTTATAGGCTCATATTAGTTATAAAAAAAAAAAAACAATATACGCGCACATATGAACGCACGCACACACACGCATGCAAACATACAGAATATCTTATTCTGATATCAGAATATCTTATTATCTGATATATTTTTCAAACTCATTGGTATATTTGCCTATATCTCAATTTTTTTTTCTATATCTTAAATAATGCTGTTTAGCAAGTTTAAAGAAGAAAAAAAAGAAATATTGTACAAATTATTATTTTATCGATTATGTGTGCATTCCTTGCTGCTATAAATACTTTGAAGCATTTGTAGCACCAAGTGGATCGCGCCCTATATTTACCTCATCCATGCCTGCAAGTTTTGTAATAACTTTATAAGCATAACCTTGATTTACAAGAAACCGTTGTCGCTTTCTCGAGTAATTCATTTCCATTGTATCTTGTGATACAAGTGTATAAAAGAATGCATTATATTCTTCTGCGATTGCACCTATATAATAAAAAAATATAGTAATTTTTAATTATAATAATTTATGTTTAACATAATAAATAAATTATACCTTTCTTAGCTCTAAGAATGCGTCCTAATCGTTGGGCTTCTTGTCGCCTAGATCCACCATGGGATGAAATTTGAATCAAAACATTAGCCTCTGGTAAATCAAAAGAAGTATCTGCTACTTTACTGACAAATATTGTATTGACTTTCATATTAAATTTAAAATTTTGTAAAATTTGTATTCTTTCGCTCTGAAAATAAAAAAAACAAATTGCTATTACAAAAAAATTATGTTTATAAGACATAATTTTGTAAATATAGCCTGTAAATTATTATTATCGTATGATTGGTGCTGATATTTACTTGACTAGTAGGACCATAAATATATGGCTTATTCATCTTAATAGCATAATGTTTTAATGCAAATACATTATCAGAAAAGACGATTGTTTTATCACCACGCCTTTCGTGATATCGAATTAAATATTGACAACAACGAAATTTATTTGGATTCATCACATACAATAACTGTAACATATAAACATATAAATAGCATGTAAAAATGTAACATATAAAGATATATCATATTTTAAGATAATATAAATTGATATAATTTCGAATTATGAAAAACTAACCAATTTTCTGCTCATCTTGCAAGTAAGATATTCTCTATAAAATTCTGGTGTCATAGGACACCAAACTTCTGCACATTGTACTCTTGCAATAAATCCTCTTTTTTGCAATTCCAACCAGTTAGCCTCATATAACTTAGGACCAATTAAAAAATTTAAATCGGCAATTTTATCATCCTCTCGCAAAAGCGTAGCTGTTAACCCCAACTTACAATGAGACTGGACAATCGTTAATACTCTACGGAACATTTTCGCAGGAATAGTATGCACCTCTAAATAAAAATTACGCTTATTATAGAAAAACAAATATTATTTTGTTAAATAACTTATGAATAATAAAATTTACCATCCAAGACCATAATACCCCATTCCTGTTCTTGAAGCCAACGCATTGTTTGCTCAGCTTCCCATGAACGTTTTTGAGTATGTGTAATCATGGAATATGTAGTTATCAATATTCCACAGCCCATAGGTTTATCTTTTGCTTCGCTGGTAAAACGACAAATCATTGAATCATCGGCAGTAGACCACATCTTAAATTGCTGTTTCCATTGTTCCACGGACACACCAGAATTACATAGGACTAAAGCGCGTTTACGTACTGTACAACAAGCTGTTACTCCAACTAAACTTTTACCAGCACCTGCACTTAAGAAGATTCAAAATGCAAAACTTGCATGATGCTCGATTATTCTAACTGCTTAAACTTGTTTTGTCATATTTAACAGAATTAAATAGAATTAAACATACCGCAGGGTAAAACTATTACCCCAGATCTAGCTCGTCCATTACCAAACATTTTCCGCAAACTTTTTTCTTGATAAGGTCTTAATACAGCTGATGGCTTCAAATCTATACTAATGAGATATTACGAGACATTTAACTTTTTATTTGTTTAATTTGTATAATTATTTTGTTACTTATTATTTGTGTAATTATTTCGTTAATTATTTTGTTAGTATTCAATATTCGCTCCTTTTCATTCATTTACTTACTTTATATCTGGATTGATACTATCATTGCGAAAATCATATTCCGCCAATAAAGGATGCTCCAGTTCAATGCATCGTTTTTGTATAACTTCAATTTTCTCCTTTTCACCATAACAATATGCAGTTTTAATATGAATACCTTATATTGTATTTTGTGCAAACAAATGTAAAAAATTAAATATATTAAATATATCAAAACAGATATATACCTGATTCACTTCAAAACTAACTGTTTTCAGTTCTTGATCTTCTTCCTCATCTTCATCTTCTTTATCAATTTTGTTATAAAAAGCAGTTATATCTTCTGGAATGGTAGCTGTTTCTGTTGATATTTGGTCAGATTCAGTCTCTGAATTTGTCTTACTAGGTACAGATGTATTCGCAAGTGATTTTGTTCCAAACTAAATTTCACAACATAAAAAAATAAACATATATTACATAATTAAAATTTTTTTATGAATTATTGACATAAGTACTTCAACATACTTGAGGAACTTTTGTCTTTGTTTGAATATTTGTAATAACATCATCAGTTTCTGTATCTTCTACGAGTTTCCTCAATCGACATTCTTGAATTACTGGATCCTTTAATAACCTTTGCAATACTTCGGGAAATGGAGATTCAATAAAATATTTATTATGTTTCAAAACAAGTTTAACCTATAAGATGCATTATCTTATTAAACTCATTTTTAATATCATGTAAAATTTATAAAAATTGCTCACTTTTCCATAGGATAATGTACACAGTTTTATAAATTCGATTATACCATCAGGAATACTTGTTTTACTCAATCTCTTTAAATATTCTATTATATCTTGTGTTTGTAGACCTACACTAACAGCAGCATAGAGTGAATATGCAGTTAGTTTGTACTAAAAATAAAAATATCATATATACACTGTTTTATACACATATTGTTACACACACACACACACACACACACACACACACACACACACACACACACACACACACACACACACACACACACACACACACTC